AGCAAAGTCGCAAAAGCAAAGTCGCAAAAGCGACTGACATCTATTGACTAGCAGTTCAACTAGACTTCCAGGAGGATGGATAATGCGCTGTTAGCAGACCCGTTCCCAAAGCTAGGAGTAGAGACAGGAACAATTTAGGTGGATTGATTAGTGATTCCGGTCACGGGAGCTGCTAATGTTATTAGTTCCTTAAGTGTAGTGCATGTTATTATAATGGGAGGTGGCGGTGATATTCCCCCGTACAATTGCGGGATCAGGCGCCGACCTACACTGGGGTAGCGAGGTTTCACCAAACTGGTATTCCCCACAAACGGGGCACTACCCGAGCCGGGGCAACCTCTAAGCTGCCGGCATTGGCCTGGTGTTGACCGGAGAAACCACGTAAAACTACCTGTCAGAACAGCCTGCCGCTAGAATTCGAATTCAGCCGCTGTCTAACTAGTAGTCGTATCTAACTAGTATCGAAAATTCTGTTACCGTCAGAGCTCGTGCTCTAGAAACTCCCGGTCAATGTAGTAACATCAATTGATGCCCTGAGCCACCTAAGTTCTTAAAAACCTAGGAATATATGGCTTTTCATTACTGAGATTAAGTTGTGGGCTTGCACCATTCATCTGCGCGCCCACTAAATATAAGAAGTAATGGTATAAATATGAATTTTCCTCTAGATTACCTCACACTCAGGGTTTATACACTCAGTCTCTCTTTGAGAGGTAACAGTGGTGGGCAATGGCAGAGGCGATGCATCTACTAGTGGGAAGGTAACCGGGAGCGTCGGAGAAGATAGAGAGGGAAATGATTGATTTATAGTGATTCCGGGCGCGTCAACTAATAAGGTCATCAGTCCCGTAAGTGCAGTGCGTGTTTTTCTCGAGCGTTGGTGATGGTTTTCGCCTGCTGGATGGCGAGATCGGGCGCCGACCTACCGTCGGCTACCCGGGGTTTTCCCCGACCAGATATCTCCCTCCAGTGGGGCACCGCCTAATCTGGAGCAAGCTCACGACCGGCATGAGTGGTAGTGTGGTTCATGATAGTGCAACATGTGTAGGGGGTGATATTGGAACAAGGAAGAGGAACGAGAGAAGGCGCGCCGTCCGTGGCCCGTCTGCTCCGGCATTCGTCTGGTGTTGAGAGGGGAAACCACGAAAAAATACCGATTACAGCAGCCGCCCACTAGAATTCTCCTCCAGACAGCGACTGAATTCGATCTACCTGCCACCATCGGTACTCGAACCAAGGACCTCCAAGCCAGAGCGACTGCAGTGACATCAGTAATACCCTCAGTCATCTCTCCGGTGGGAAATGTAGGAATCAGGTGTGAACAACAAATTGCGAGACAGCTTTCAATTAGCGGCAGAGAGAGCGAGGGTGGGGGCTGCTGCTTGTTCTCTAGTGTCGGAGTTATTTGACAAATAGTTGAAGAAACTTCATAAATTGCACACGTGTGAAACGCGCGGTACAATAGGCGCTGATTCACAAAGTTGTATACGTTAAGGTAGTTGAGTAAACGTTTAGTAAGAAAATGGCCGATTTGAATTAAACAATTTCACTCGTTTTGCTCGCGTATTTCCATGTCGACGGCGAGGTTTTGGCTTTCATCCCCTACTACTATCATTTAACAAACTGGAATTCAGCCAATGCAAACTTTCCAACGTATGTTCCACCAAAATACAGATAGACCTTATCTTGACCCACCTCCTTCGCGTGACTATTACTAAAGCATTTCTACTTAATTCAATACGTGTGTTTCTCTCATATTTTAAGTGTACGTGAGTTTTAGCTACTGAGCTAAGAGGCTCAAGGCGCGCTGACTTCGCAATCGGGAGACCCGGGTTCAATCCCTGTGACGGCCATCCGGACAGGGGTTTTCGTGATTTCTCATCCAATGCTGCGATGGCTTTACTGGCCACGACTGCTAGCCGAATTCTTTAATTACGTGAAGTCACGAAGTTTACACGAATTCGAGACATCGCGGGTTCCTGGTTGGGTGACCGAGTAGAACCCCCGGGATCTAACGGCGTCGAGGCCAATTACCCTTTAAGGAACATATAATGACTCAGTACAAACACAAATGTTTTTAGCTGTTAGTGCAAAAATACTCGTGGCCGGCGGACTCGTTACTGCCGCGCCGCAGCGCGCCGCACAGCAGCCAGGGTTGCCACCTCTCCAGGTTTGACCCGGAGACTCCGGGTTTCATAGACAATCTCCGGGCTCCGGGTTACTGTTGAAAATCTCCG